CCTGTCACTTAACTATAATTTTTTTGCTCTGAATTTTAATATGGTCAACTTCCTAAGTATAGGACAGACTACCTCAAAAATTAAGCAATTTTTTTTTATTATTATAAACTCCGGTTATTTGTACATTTTAAGCCGAGAAAACAACCTCTGCAATTATGAAAAATAGCAGGGGTAAAATTGACCGCTTAAAAATTCTGAAAACAAGCTATGGATCTATGGATTTAGCCTACAGCCAAAATGTTTTTAAATTTTTTATTTTTTTTATTATTATTATTTATTTTATATTTTAAAATTAAATTAATAAAAATCTTATAAATATCAATAACAAATTTTTTAGTCGATAGAAAAATAGTTACGAATCAGTGATGTTTTTTTTTTATTACAGACTTTTTAACAAATGATTCTAATTATTATATATAACATTATAAGTAGTTTTGGTTGACTTGATTTGACTCGATGGTTAAAAGCCACAAAAAATAATAAAAAGTTTATGTGAGCTGCCTTGCCCCACCCTCTCCTAAGGATGCGAAAAACTGCCGTCCACTGCAAAGAGATGTAGTTTTTATTCTGGAATAATTTTTATCTAAACAAAGTTAACAAATGTTTTGGAAGAAAAAGGAAATATTTACTTAAATTTTAAGATTTATCCAGAATATGGAAGACCGGAAACTGCATTTCTTATTTGGGGTACGTAAAAAATGATAATAATTCTTTCCAAATTTTAATAACGGCCGTATTTTATTCCGCGTTTGCGCATACACGTTATGCCCATATTAAGGTCCTCCCAAAAAAAAAAAAAAAAACAAAAGTATCCTTTTTGACTTGACCACCTCCTACCAACAAACAAAAGACGGCTAGTTAATTCCCGAAAGCGGCGTCTATCGCGTTTTTTTGTATCGCTCGCATTTCACTTTTCACCATTCAGCGCAACCAGACCTACGTTTAGTTTCAACGACCTTCGTCCTTGCTCCGACATAGTCCCGTTAGGGGCGGGGACGGGAGTGGCGGTGACGCGCGGAGCTATCGACTGGAGTCGGCCTAACTCACCCCCCCGCACGTCTAGACAACCCCAGCCATAAAGGTGGTGCCTTCCAACTACGAGCATATTCTGGACGCTCCGATTTAATTGCGCGATGGATGCCGTCGAAATTTCGATATATTCCGATCGCTACTCGATTTGCCACTTTACGCCGTTAATTAATACCGCGTTCCATTCGAGGCGTCGTTCACGCTACAGGGCGCGTGACATTAGAGAAACAAAGCCACACCATACCGGGGTTTCAAACTTAAACCACTTCGACTGCTAACTTCACCGTCACAGTCAGTTAAATAGGCAAACTACTGTGCTCTTGATGCAAGAGACTTGTAAACTGTTATTGAACTGTAAAACTTAGTGATAATACGACCAAAAATATAGTACACTTAAGAGTTTAATCTAATTTGCAATATATTCGTATATATTATGGAAGAATTTGACTGTGATCCTTATAGTAAGTACGTATTTTTGTACTTGATTCTCGAGCTTTGACCCTGCGAGGCTGTTTTCACTGGATAGTTCAAAGGGTATGGGTATGGTCTGTTCATAAATATGAGAAAGTGACCAATTGCTTTTGAATGGGATTATCCAAGGGTGGTCATTCACATACAATGCAACAAGATTATTTACCTAAAGTTTCGGAATTTAAATTCAGGAAAAATAGAAAATAATTTTATACCTACCTGTGTTCTTTGGTTTGGTATCCTACTTAGTTTAAGTTTATTAGTAATCATTCTTATTTCGTATGTAATACAGCGTGTGTTGAATCGTGTGCGAATTATGCAAAATATGTGCGAGTCTAGTGTATCTCAGGAGATGCTTCCGCCCAAATGTAGAAAACACTATTCTATTGAGACTTAGGAAGTTATAAATAATGTTTATTTGACCCTCATTGAACGTGGTGTCAGCAAACAAGCATCTTTAGAAGAAACAGCCACATTGACCAAAATTCCAACATCAACTGTATGGAAAAAAGTCCATTTGGAATCCAACCATCTCTTCGAAAACCTCTGTCTGCAAAAAATATTAAAGATTCTTCTCTGGATTATCATGAAGACACCACCGCTGATTTATTTGAAAGTTGGTTTAAAAACAAACTAGTTCCAAAAATCCCTCCTAATAGCGGAATTGTAATGGACAATGCAAGTTATCACAGTAGACAGCTGACTAAAACCCCTTCCTCATGTATAATAACGATATTTATTTTCACGAAGATTATACCATACCAAAAAACAATTAATTGAGGTTCTACAAAGCTTGAACCTACAAAAGGAATACGTCTGTGATAATTATGCAAAAAATCTAGGGCATACAGTTTTAAGGCTTCCACCTTACCACTGTATATTTAATCCTATTGAACATGTTTGGCACCAACTGAAATCTGCCATTCGTCGTAACAATGTTTTTCCCCGTGTTAACTCCAATGTCCTCTAACTTATAGAAACCGAAGTTTTTAACATCCCTTCGCAAAGTAGTGTTAAACTTATTATCTATGTTTGAATTGCGTTTAGAGCTGAAACGGTAGAGTATTGATAAATAATAAATGTTATTTTTATTTCTTCCTGTGGAAAAGCGACGTGATAACAACGAGACACACTTTATGTATCCGTGTTTTAACACGAACAAATTCTAAAATAGGACATTCGTATACATTACATTAGGGTAAACGAGTGCTGTTTTTCTGTTTGGGGTTTTCTAAATATAGGCCGAAGCTTTTTCTGGGTTCCCTCGTCGATCTAATGCCATTACGTGGTATACGAAGTATAACGAAGTTAAGCGCTCTGTGGAGCTTAAAAGCTGTTTCCTTATTTAGGCCACGTAGTAAATCAATACGGCCATAGTAAGACGCTTGCCTGCTGGGGGGAAAATTGTGTTCGCCCCTATCGGCTTCGAACTCGATTAAATCAGCTTCATCAATTGTATCGTCACTTGGTGAAACCACATATAACGATACTTTCGTAAGTGTTTAAAAAAATTCCCAGGCTGGAATGTGACGGAATAGTATGCATAAGTATTTTAGGAATTTAGCGTAAATAGTGAAACTATCAGTGATTATGCATAATAACTGAGTACATTCAGAAATATCTTTAAATAATAAAGTCGTCAGATATTATGCATAGTATGAGTCGTTCCGTTAATATCGATAACAATTTTACAGGAATTATTATAATATATTATATATTAATACCTGAACAATAGATACTTTCGAATCACTGGTTATTAGGGGTAGGAAACACACAACACACAAATTAGTTGTACAAGTACCTACTTATTCTGAAATCTATTTAACCGAGAACAGCATATGTGACACTTAACTACTACATATCTTAGACTATTTATATTTTTGAACAAAAACTCTGTTCTTTATTCCATTATAATTTTTAGAACAAATAGTGTTTCTATGAAACTTAGTACACTTTGTTAAACTTGCATAGTACCAGAAACAATTGCGGCTGCGTTCTTAGGTTGTTACCTACGGCTAAGAGTGCGTCATATTCTTCTTTGAACAAAACATTTCGTCGTGAGCTTCTTCTTCTCCTTAGCTTTTTAGTTTATTCAAGAAATTTTAATTTAACACTATCCGTACCTATTGCGGATATTAAAATGAAAAGCACTCCCCCTGGCCTATATAAAAGTAACCGAAACCAACTAAAACTAAACAACCCTAATAAAAGAAAATAAGAATATATTTAAATTATTTACATTTACATGTCTACGAAATTGCGGGTGCCCGTAAACTTCTCAGCACTAAGAGTTTCAGTAACTACTAATAATTGTGAACATGTATGTTTAATTTAATACTTCAGAATGCTTATAATAGCAGTTCAAAATCGATACAGCCTGCAGCAAAACTATACCTAGTTTCTTAAAGCTAGAGGCTAATAAAATAATAATAATAAAATGTAAATTTGCAGTTAATCGTTAAATTAACACTGTACAGCATACAATACAGTGTGATGAATTAAAGTAATTATTAATTAAAAATTAAATAAATTAAACAAAAATAAATTAAATAAAGTTGAGCAGATAATTGAAATATTAATTATTCTAAAGTGAAGTAAATAAAAACTTATGTAAACGGAAGAATTATATGCAAATAAAATAAAAAAAAATTGTGACCTAATTAATTGTTGACTGACCAACACGATTTTCGTAACTGCGAATGGTGAGCTTTGGTTACTCGAAGAGCTTCGAACACAATGAAAATAATAATTTTCTTATTTTTAGAAAGTGCAGTTTTACTAATCCTTTTCTCGGCAACAAATTGAGAAACACTAGCCATTTTCAAGAACGAACTTTGACAACAACTATCGTAAGGTAGCTCTAATTCTCAATTTAAAAACTAAAGCACGGGTAGGTCAATTACCTGTTACTTTGGGAGCCCTTATCAATCATCATAGGGACAACTAAGCTTTACATTTCAATAATTATTTATAACTTACTCAGACTAATAGACAGAGCAAAGTGAGTTCCGAAGAAACTTATTTTGAACCGTAGAACCGTAATTTTTTTGTTTTAATTGAAAATAAATCAAAGGATTTACCTCTGATAATTTAATTTTGTTTAAGTTTGCTTCACTGTATCATACATCTAAATACATATTTGTAATCCTTGTAATATATATACCATTGAAAAGTTGGTCACCATTAACTTTTTTTGGAACAAAAACATTCTGAAAAATTTGTCATTGGATATCCCAGAGAGTTAAAAAAATGCTAATTTAAATGGATTAAAAAAATCTTAGAAAATTATTATGGCATAAATTTAAGCCCTTGAGTGAACCACGAGTTCAGCAAGTATAAAAATTTTGTTGGCAAATTTTTCACCGATTTTGAATCGGGCCGATTAGGAATGTATCATAAACTTATTTGATAAATTTTTAAAACAAACAAGGTCCCGATATGATCATTTAGTGGAAAGTGAATTGAAAGGGGTTAAAAAATGTTTCTCTTTCATATTTCAGATTGTGATAGCGGCACACGTCACTGCTACCCGGTTTGCAATGCGGGGCGACCCGCCGCGTCGATAACTCAACCCCCTCCATCACCCATCCACCTTATGACCGCCGTGCACCGCGTTGCTGCCGGATGTACCACCAACTCCCCCGGCATGGATGTCAAGCACGATATGGTCTATCATACCGACGATGACGTGCTATTGGTTAAGTCTGAACCTCAGATGCATTCGCCGTCGTCCACCGCCATCCTCCAAGTAAGCTTTAGATATATAGAGGCTCTACCCATGCTTATAATATAGGTATTTTTAAACCGACGATATAAAACCAATATTTAGAAGTCCCACAATATGCACATAATTCCTAGCCAACTTATTTGACCGCTGACAAGTCATCAATTTGACGGCAATATCGAATATTAGGTAATGTTTTTTAGAGCCAATTTTTGTAAAAAAAAATCGATGTCTTGCTAATCATTCATTCATTCATTCATATTTGTGTAATAAAATTTTCATTTTTAATATTAAAGAAGGTACTTTAGAGGCTATTTTTTAAATTATTTTGGGAAATGTCTTGCTACCCACTCAAAATATTTTTTTAATACAATTTTTATCTTTAATATTAAAGAAGGTATTTTTAGTGCGTTTTTAAAAAAAATTGTCGATAAGTCTTGTTAATCATTCATTCATTAATATTTGTGTAATAAAATTTTTATCGTTATTATTTAATAAAGTATTTTTAAAGTGTTTTTAAAAAAATGTCGATAAGTCCTGCTGAATTTTTGTAATAAAATTTTCATCTTTAATATTAAGGAAGGTATTTTAGAGGCTATTTTTTAAATTGTTTTGGGAAGTTTCTGGCCGTTCACTCAAAATATTTTTTTAATACAATTTTTATCTTTAATATTAAAGAAGGTATTTTTAAAGTGTGTTTTTAAAAAAATTGTCGATAAGTCTTGCTAATCATTCATTCATTAATATTTGTGTAATAAAATTTTTATCGTTATTATTTAATAAAGTATTTTTAAAGTGTTTTTAAAAAAATGTCGATAAGTCCTGCTCATCAATCATTAATTCATATTTGGCTAATAACATTTTCATCTTTAATATTAAGGAAGGTATTTTAGAGGCTATTTGTTAAATTGTTTTGGGAAGTTTCTGGCTGTTCACTCAAAATATTTTTTTAGTACAATTTTTATCTTTAATAATAAAAAAGGTATTTTTAAAGTATGTTTTTAAAAAAATTGTCGATAACTCTTGCTAATCATTCATTTATTCATATTTCTGTAATAAAATTTTCGTCTTTAATATTAAAGAAGGTATTTTAGAGGCTATTTTTTAAATTATTTTGGTATATTTGCGTAATAAATTAATCATCTTTAATATTAAAGAAGGTATTTTTGAAGTATATTTATGGAGAGAATTTTTAAAAGAATAATTTTCTAATAAAATTTATATTTTACATTTAGGTTAATTAAAATTCAGTTATGACCTGTGACAATGCAATATATTTATTTCGATTTAGATTTTTGAAATTCAATTTTCAAAATACAATATATATTTTTCAATTCTAGAATGGTTTGGTCACCGTCGTCACTACCGTTGGTCCGACGATGCTCCAACAGCAACACCAACCACCGTCCAACGGTGGACTCGGTTTAACCGTCACCGCAGCGAATGCACCGTTTAGTGTGCTCGGGGGCGGTTCGGTATCGCCAGCCGCCACCAAGCCGCGTCGGCCCGTTGCCTCCGCGGCACCCGACGATTGGCTTAGTTCGCCCAGCCCCAGCGCGGGGGCTCCCTCGCTCACCCCCTCCCCCGGACCCCCGAATCACGCGTTCACGGTGATAAGTAACGGGTATTCGTCACCATTATCATCCGGGAGCTACGATCCCTATAGTCCGAACGGAAAAATAGGTAAGTTGCTCGATTCCGATAAGACGGTGCGATCTCTTTTTATCCGATCAATGTTCTCTCATGGAGGCGCTGGTGACAGTAATGACTAGCACCTGCCCCACCCGTGAGCTTAGCTTTCTCCAAAAACTGAAAGAACCTGGAATGATAAAATTCAATGATAATGTAGAATTCAACTAACCATTTTAAATAGAATCCTCCATTTACTATTTATAAAACTTCTGAATTCTTCCTGCGTTAGTTGTTGTTGAAACTGAAGTTACAGACATTTCGCCAATCATCCTGTTGGCTTCTTCAGAGCTTAACTGAACATGGCTCGCATTCTACTCTGCACCTGCTCATATATAGTTTTAAGGAGAGCGTAGTTAAAGAACATTATCATCTCGGACGGATGAGTCGCGGTTAAGATTGTTTGGTTGCTTATTGATTTCTATAGATTCTCGAAAATTTTCGTTGGTAGAAGAATTGATTACATGCAAAAATTTTAGTTTTATCAAATAAAATTTTATGCCCGGTTTCATGAGTGTGATCGGCAACAGCTGATGAGTTTATTTGTCTTAGTCGTAAGGCTCCTTCGCGTTTTTTGAGCCTAGTTGATATTTTATGCACGGAATGCTGTAAACTCCTGGCGTCTTAAATGGAATTTTGTCTTTGACAGATTTATATATTATAATATATATTTATATATTTAGAAACTTAAATGTATAACAAAACCCATAATGTTAATATTACACAAGGGAAACTTCTTAATGATCTGTATATTGATGTATACAAGAAAGAGCTTTTAGTAATTGTTTTCTTAATTATTATTAGGATAATTCTGATTCCTTTAATGTGGGAGATTCGGATGAGTCCATAAAAGCGCAGTCTGAATGATCAACGAAACCAAACGAAGTATTTTTTAATGCCATATCGATATACACAATACGACTCCAATTTTACTGCTCATCTATATTGCAACTTTTGATCTTGAAACTTTTTGACTGAAAATTTCTTTTTATTGTGGTTTATAGTTAATCACCTGTTGCTCTATGCTGCTACCGTTGTGGGACACTGTATAAATTATCTTCCGTTTCAGCAATTCGATAAAATTGAGACGTGTAAAATAATTCTTTGTATTTGTGAATGAAATGAAAAATATAAAAAAATCATACTAACATACATCGATCATATTGTATGTGTGTTCTAAATTCATTTATCGTACTGCCAGCGTAGGTATAGAATGGGCAAATAATGCCGAGAGTTCAATGAGCCATTCATTGCCGAAATTAAAATTATAGTGCAAGAATAAGTTCTTAATTATATGAATGAAAAATTAACTTTGTTATAATACGGTGCCGACTTAACAGAGGCGTACCACAAGGTATAATATTTAAACCTGGTTTGTTGATTTTGATTAAAACGCTACGACATGTTTGTTCCAAACTTCGGACACTTGTATATTGTAATTGTAATGGTTTTAGGTTATTTATTTTTCGAAATTCAGCAAATTCGGGCCTATGGATGTGGCTTGAGTTTTTGAAAAGAGTTGTAATGAAGATATGGTTAAAAAAAAAAAAAACTAGAAAAACTGTTAAAGGGTAAAAAAATCTTGTTTGATGCTTAAAGTTTAAGGATCCAGTTGAAATTGGCAAAAAAATGCATTGTCTGAATGATAATATAATAATGATAAAATGAACAATAGTTTTCAAGTAGTAAAATTATTCTCAAAATATCCAGTTGTCCAGTAGTTTACTCTTTCAACTTCTCAACTAATTATCTACTTAGAAAATTATGCAACCAAGGCATTGCGATGTTGTCACAGTTTACTTTGAAACTGTAGTTACTCAAATTAAAAAATAGTAAAACCAAGGATAAAGTAAAATGTTCATATAGAATTTAAAATTTTTATAGGTTAATATAACCAGTATACTATCAGTTACGTGTCGGTGTGTGTTATTTACGATTTTGGAATCAGAAGTGGCGGATTTTAATTCGACGAAAATAAAATATTCTTCACGGATCACGGTCTAATTTAAATTTGTTGGGCACCAAACATTTTTTAATTGAAGCGTCCTGTCGCGAACCTCAAATCGTAAAGAAATTTGGTAAAAAAAAATACTAGGACGAGACCGCCTTGTTTTTCAAATCGGGGACCGTAATTTGTCGGATGTCGTTTTCAATGACAAGCAATTTATATGATTTTCTGCGCAAACATCTCCTCGGATGACTGAAATAAATCGAGTTATAATGTCCAGGTGCTTTGGATCCTGAATGATGCGAAATTTTCCGTTTAAAATTATTGCCTTGTTTTTATCTTATATTATGCTCAACTAGCTGAATTAAGAGTATAAATAAAATTAGGCTACTCTTAGTTGTTAATAATTGTTAATTGAGTTTTCTAAATCATGAATTGTTTTATATTTAAGTGTACACGTACGTAGGCTTAGGATCCGCGTCAAAGTTTTTATCATTTTTTATCAGTGAAAGGCAAAAAGTTAATGAGCGATATAAGCAGTGACTTCTTTGATAAAATATCAAAAACCATCCAAGAGGCCAAAGAAAAACGGACAACCGAAGTAAAGAAAGAAATTCAGTTTGAAGTCTCACTCGTAAAACATGATATTAGTGAATTAAAAGCCACCACCATTCAAGAAGAAAGTCATGAAAGAGTTAAACTTAAAAACAAATGAAGAAAATTTGAAAAAAAAGTTGATGAAATAGAGAAATTTTAAAAGAAATAATATTATAATCTTTGGATTAGATTATACCGGCAACGTCGCATTATCTGAGTTTGTTATTACATAAATTGACACACTGCTCCAACTAAGCTGCAATGACAGTGGCGACTATTAATAACATCTATCAAATAGGGTCGCCAACGCAAGCAAAAAGACCAATAATAGTCCAGTTTGTCTCACTTTTGGTAAAGCAACGAGTTTTGAAAAATAGAAACAAATTGAAAGGCACTAATATTAGTATATCGGAGGATTTGAGAAAAGAAGAGCGCGAAATAAGAAAGATTCTAGTAAAACACAAAAAAATTGCCCAATCACGAAGCCAAAGAGTATATATTACCAGAGATAAATTGTATGTAAACTGTGAAGCTTATACGGTGGATCAGCTAGAAACGGCGCCAGAAGATAGTCATAGTCAGATTGAGATAAGAAAAACTAGCAGTGCACCACCGACTCCCTTGCTTCAAGACGAAATCTGCGACAACGAAAACTCCGATTTTGAGCAAATTGTTTCAGACGGCGAAGAGATAGGCAATACAAATCAAAAGAAATTGAGTCCCATAATAGATCCAGAGACAGGGAAAAGAAGGATTGCGAGTCCCGAACCTACAGGACCAATTACCAGAAGACTAAAGAAGAACATTGTAGAGCCATTAACTCAGAGCCCTTTAAGAAGAAATGAAAAATTCAAAAATAAAATCACACGCGGTATGTAGCAACATCTGCAAAACGAAGTTTCCGAACCAGTCCAGTGCTAGAACTGCTTAGCAAAATTTTTGTTTGATTTGTTTTAACAGTGAACTCGCTGGAACTAAGGAATTGCAACATCATGTTTGGAAAGCAAAATTAATTAAACGCTCAGGTCTGTTCGAAACAAACCCGTGACTAAAGTGTATATAATATACTATTTTACTATTGCTATTTAAAACAAAAGATGTAAATGTATACCAAAATTTCTTATTTTTGTTATTATATGCAGACGCTTACATTTATATATTTTATTTATACAATGACTTTATAAAACAAAAAAAAAACAACTTTCTTTTGCCAATAATATAGACATTACTGCAACCACGTGCAACAGAAGAGTTTACCATTTTAAAAATTATTTAAAAATTTGCCGCAGCATGACATTATTAGTAGGTATTCTATATATCCAGTAAGGGCGAAAAGAAGAAATAATCTCGAAAAGTCCAGTCCAGGAAAAAATTCTTTACCCAAACGACGCGCAAGATCCGGATTAAAAACCTTTATTCTTGATGACTTTTTCAAAATGTACAGGGTGCGTCGGTAATTTGCAAAAAACTGAAAATTGTAATGATAATTTACCATAACAAGAAGGCTGTGATTCTGTTGACACTTTTTTTATAGCCCGTATGGACAGCTAAAACTTTTGTATTTAAAGTTTTCACATACTCTACAGGGTGATCGGGATATTACGTGCTATATTCAAAAACGTCATAAGTGACCCAAATATGTACCTATCGATTTTAAATTTGCCAAGGAAGTAAAAGTACATACCCACATCTAAACAGTACAATTTGAGCGTAATCAAGTATCACCAAATATTTTTTTAAAAATTTTGAAAAATTTTCTTTGAATATTTTGGCTTCCAGAAAACGTGATTTTTCTCAAAAACTATTCAACCGATCAGAAAAATTGTAGAAGCAGGAAATGCGGGACATCGGGGGCCATGACTTTTATTTCAGACATTTTTTCGATTGCTTACAGGGTTTTTCAATTATGGACAAAAAGACCATGAAAATCGTTCTTTTCGCTATTAAATTATCAGCCGTAAATCAAAAGTTGTGAAAAATATGGCCAATTAGTTTAAACAGTGTAATAAGCCACATCGACAGCTACAATTTTTGTATTTACGGTTTTCGTCATCACATACGCTGTTCGAGATATTTGAAAAAATCCAAATGAAAATCACAATTTCCTTCGATCGAGAAGCGATGACGTCATTGATTATTACGGCGTACTGCTCTATTGAAAAAAATCATACAGATCCAGGGCTATCACCCCTATTTCGAACATTGTTTGAATTTTATACAAGGTGTCGATTATTGGCAGAATATCTAAAAGTTTCTTAAAATTTCCGTTTTTGTGGGTAAATTATTGGCGATAAATGAAAGAATAGAAGAAAGAATTTGATTTGAACGGTATCTTAAACTGCGTCGAGAGAGAGTTTCAGGTTTTGTCAATTATACAGGGCGTGCGAGATATTTGAAAAAATATCATTCGACAACGTACAAAGTTTGCGATAACTTTGAAGATCGAAGA